TCATTTCCGATAAACCCGGAAATGATAAAGAAGAATCTCGAAGGATCAACTCGAATCAGGAAATCTTCCAAGAAACTCCGAAGAATAAGGAAACTGTCCTAAATCCGCGATATTCTAAGCCGACTTCAAGATAAATGGAAATTTTCCTAGAATATCGCTGGAGAGGCGGTTTACCATCCCTATATATAGAGACTCAAGGCTCTCACAGAGGGCAAGGAAGATCGCTCTAGAATTTACACTACGCAAAGCTCTCACAGCACAAACATCTTTTCCTTTACGATCAAACTCTTGTACGATCAAAACTACTCTTTTCATCAATAAGATCAAGAACACCATCTTTGGTTACAATTGTTTCTGTTGTTCTTTGAGAATTCACGTTTATCGTATCCCTAAATTAAAACCCTAGACAAATTTTGATTGTGTTAGTTTCGACTTCCACATGCGTCCTAACGTCAACTTTCATTGGCTAAGCATACATTGCTCAATTTACATTGGTTTAAGCATTCTACCGAACATTTTTGATGCATAGAAAAACCTAGAATCTACAACAGGATGATCAATCCTATTCTAGCATTAAAAACATGTGAATCAAAGAACCAAAAGAATAAGAACTCATAATAAGAATCAATCCATTGAATCTCCTAATATTTTGATATATTTAATATTTTGATATTGTGATATATTTAATATTTTGCATATAATAAAAATCTTGAACTTTATCAAGACATCTTCTCTCTCTCTAAAACCTCATCCTTCTCTCTAAAAACAGATCTAGATCGCGTTGGCTGGCTCCGGTGGCTTCCACAGCGCCGGAGCAAGGCCTCTCTTGCTCACTTGTATAGTTGTTGGTTAGTTTGTTGGGTTTGTGTAGGGTTGGTGGAGTATTTTGATGGTGGCTTCTTTCGCAAAGTTGATGTCTGTGGAGCAGTACGCGGGATTCACGGAGGCTCTGTTCTCGGCTGAGTTTTAGTCGAGATCTGGTGGTGGACCTATCGTCGGTGAGGTTTTGTGGCGTTTCTAGTTGTAGTGAGGTCTTGGGCTGCTTTTGTCTGTTCATGGTGTTCCTGCCTTGCTGGATCTGAGCATCAATGGCTTTGTTTTTTGTGTTGTCTTGGTATTTTGTATCTCTTCTGCTTCATTCTTTGCGAGAGGGTGCTTGTATTGGCTTGTCTTTGATTTGGTCTTAGATGGCTTCTGTCGTTTTTGTGGGTATGCCGTCTCTGTTGCTAGTAGCGCCTTTTGATCCGGTCTTTTGTGTTTTAGCTCTCGTCTCGTTTAGCCTCTTACCAGTAGTGGTGGTTTCTTTAGTTTCTGTCCGGTTTGATGTCCTGCTGTTTATCTTCTTCGGTGTGGTCGGGATCGATTTGGTTCTCTCCTTGTCTCTACTCCAAAGATCTGATCGAGATCTCATCTGTTCTTTGGTTGGTTTCCTTCGAGGCGTTTAACAATCATATTCCTTGATTTCGCCGCTTCCGGGAGTGTAGGTGTGACATAGTTGTCATTGGCCTAGTTCTTTTCTCGCCGGTCCGGTTTCCTCAGAACTCTTCTATGTGAGGTAGTCTTCATCGTTATAGGTGGTACCGCTGTCCGTTTGGTTGGGAGTTCTTTATCCCCTACGGAGTGGCTCGTTGTAAAGCTCTTCCTTTCTTTTGTTTGGTAATGTTGTTGACGAGATGTTGTGGTTAAATGTCGGCTTAGTGTGGACTGCTTCTTTGTTCAGTTTCAGACATGTTCCCCTGTTTGTTTTAGGCTTGTTTGCCTTGTTGTTTCCCTTTCTTTCATGGCTCCGGATGAGTAGTTCATGCCGGCTTAGTTTTTCTTAAAACTCTAAGGCTTTAGCTTTCCGTATCACTCTCGGGCTTTGGTTTCCCATATCACTCTTGGACTTTGCTTCCGGTTTATCCGGCTTTGTATTCGACGTTGTAACATCTTTCGTATAATATAAACTCTTCTAGCGAAAAAAAAAAAATTCTTGAACTTTATAAACCTTATATGTCCTATGTTATGTGTTCTCTTAGAGCCCAAGGCCTGCTATGAGCCAAGCGCGAATCTCATTTATTACATGATCCCTATACACATGACATATAACCCAAATTTAGAGAAGTATGTTAAAAATGGTAACTAAAGAATAAGAAAAAGAAGTTAAGTAATCGATGTTTAGACCCTCCACATTGGTGGAAGCCCCTTTGGCCCATTGGTTGACCAATGGTTAATTAATGCTTCTACACCCAGAGGTCTGGGGTTCGAGCCCCAGATAATGTGATTTATTAATAAATTTGCAGATTATTGGAGGCAAGTGTGCAGGAGATCTCCAGCGATATACAATTATAGCCGTTCGCCAGGATTCTACGCAGACAGAGAAGTGTCCATCAAGAGCATGAAGAATGAGGTGAAGGAGGTGAGCATGAAGAAGGAGGTGAAAGAGGTATCATCTGTCGTGAATCTAATAAGGGTCGGAAGGAATTGTCCGTTGTAAAATCGTCTATGTAATAGTTCTCTAATTTGCAATAAATAATAAATCCAGACGACAAAAAAAAAAGACCCTCCACATTGTTTGAACAATTGAACATTATTGGAAATCCAGCCAAGCGAAGCGAGTCGGCACATTTGTTTGCAAATGCAGAAGAAACTACATCATCAGCTGCGACACACAAACAAACGCAAGAAGTAGCATGATCTTGTTCGATTAATTCTTATCTAAATACTAAATTAGATATAACTTATTACACATACAAGTTCCATATGTAAGTAAAACTCGTAGCGATGCAGCACGACTAAAAGTCCCAAAAGCAGAATTCATATTGTCTTGTAAGCTCCTACAAGATTGAGTTTGGTTTTCCATTATAATTTGAAATTTTTTTTAAAAACCTATGACAAGTTACATAAGGGCTTGAAGAGTCTACGTCAAGCCCGGAAGCCAACCATTAATCCCTATAACAGTTTTTAGGTTTATAGGGACCCGTCCAAATACATAGCAACTTGCAAAATCAAGAACTGCTGCTGCACCCAAGCCGACGCCTCCTACGCCCATCATAACTACCAAAACCAACATTAATGTCTTAATTATTGAAATAATGTATATCACATCTTTTAAACTATGCATGTAATTAAGTGTAAATAATTTTTCGGATTACCATTATTTGGTTCAGCAGATAAGATATTAGTAACATATGAATTTGTATGATTTAAGGATTCAAAATCATGATGCATGCTCTCTGAAACTTTTTGTGATATCGCACCCTGATACGTGCATCATAGGGGATTATAAATAATAGTTTTATTTCTAGTAATATTTTAGAAGATACTAATTTTTAAAAATGAATGCAGTTAAATCTTATTACATGCAGTGGTTTCTTGTCCACCCAAAGAAGTAACTGGACGTTAAGGAGCAGTCGGACAAATCCATTTTATCTATGACAAATCATATATTTTTTTATTAGATCACTTTCTTCAAGCTTCCAGTTTAGCTATAAAGGAATTAAATTCATGGCAAAACATGTATGTTTGTGGATCTTACGGACAAGCATATTGAGTTAAAACTTGATTGCATCAGTCTCCGCAATCAAATGTACACGGAAATTATAATTTTGATGTTTAATTACTCTCCAAACCCAAGACTATGTCGCCATCATTTTGTCAATAACAACTTAAAAATTTACTTAAAAGAAGTCTTCAATGTTTTTTACAATTTAGAAAGAAAAAAAAATCCCAAATCTTTGTAAACTTCGAGAATATCAATCAAGAGAGGAAAATATATGCTTTTACAAACTCTTCCCATGATTATTATTGAGTTTGGTTTACCAAAAATCTAGTTTTCTCTAAATTAGTACTAACACACATAGAATATATAAAAAAAAGGGTTTTGTGCAAAAAAACCCTCGAAGTAACCAATTTTTGCAAGAAAACCCTCCATCTCAAATAAATGCAAGTCAATACCACCATCTCAAAAGTCACCCGCAATATAGCACTCGCGTGTATCGATGACGTGGCAGCCGTTAACTCCGTTCCAAAACGGCACGACAAGTGAACTTTTGTGCAAAAAAACCCTCAAAGTAGTCAAGTTTTGCAAGAAAACCCTCAAAGTAGCCAAATTTTGTGCAAAAAAAACCCTCAAAGTAGCCAAGGTTTTTTGAAAAAGCGACTGTTGGAGAATTCGA